ATTTCAAAATTTATATTTTCGAAAGAAATGCAAAAATTGCTCGAATATATTTCTAAAGAAACGTTTACCTATTTGGAAATTTAAGCTAGGTAATTAACTTAATTTTAATAAAATTAGAAAAAAAAAGATAAAATTTATCGCAAACTGTGATAATTACAAGTTGCGCCCCATAAAAATGTTAGTATTAGTTTATCTTTATGTGAAATTTTTCATTTCATTTTGCACTCTTTCTCATAAAATTTCATTTTTAAAATTCATTTACTTTTAAGAATAAAAAAAAGAAAAAAAAATCCTTTCACATAAATTATTTCATTTTACCATTTGGAAAAAACAATTTCATTTTTCTTTTTCCTAAAGCATTTCTGAAACAGAAATGTTAATTTTGTTGTAAAAAATTTTGTTTGCTGTATAAAATATTTGTTTATCTATGATTGAATTACTACGAATTAGAATGATAATAATTTAATGAAATATTTTAGCAGCATCATTTTTTTTGCTATTACTTTTTGGTAAATTAATCTCAAAAATTTTTCAACAATTTTAGATATTAAAATATTAAATACTAAAATTAATTATTCCATTAAGTACTCTAATATTACTTGCATTTTCATTTTTCTTTAACTTTCATCTGTTTAATAATTAAAAAAAAAGGGAGAAGTGCAAAAATTAGGTTCTATTATAAATTTTAATTCAATTAAAATTTTTGTATCTTTAAAAAAAAAAAATAGAAAAAAGTTAAAATCGTTAAAAATTAACTTTTTTTTCCTAAATATTTGTACTTTTAAATTCATCATAATATTTTATACTTTCTGATGATATTATAGAATCCATTAATTAAAAACTGGATCTTTTTCATGTCCAATTTATTTATGAAATTGTCAACAACAAATCGTTGAAGCGTAAAACTAAGACTAACAAATATTGTTAATAATATAAAATGGTTATGTTATGATTTTATTGTTGATAATTTATTGAAGAAATAGATAAATTATGTGAATATAATCTTCCTTTTCTTTTTGTTTTTGTTTTGTTTTAAAAAAATTAAAACAATTAAATGTCACTTATAAATGGTTGAAGATTTTATATTATTAATAAGGAAAATGTTAAAAAAATTTAGCTAAAATAAGGAATGAAATATAAAAATAGGGAACAAATGAAATGAAAAATCCAGTTTTTAATTATTACTATTATTATTATTATTATTTTTTTTTAGCAAAGTAAAATATCCAGTTTCTAAGCAATAAATTTTATAATATAATTGAAATGTATTATTTGAGATAATTGAAAAGTGTAAATATAGCTATTAAATTTCAATTATTTGCATATGAAAAGTAACATTTGCAAAAAGAAAAAAAAACTTCTGTTTTTAAGAATTAGTGAATTTTAAAAATGAAATTTTATGAGAAAAGAAAAACCAATACTAACATTTTTATGGGGCGCAACTTGTAATTATCACAGTTTGCGATAAATTTTATCTCTTTTTTTTCTAATTTTAGTAAAATTAAGTTAATTACCTAGCTTAAATTCCCAAATAAGTAAACGTTGCTTTAGAAATATATTCGAGCAATTTTTGCATTTCTTTCGAAAATATAAATTTTGAAATTTCCCACAATTTAAATTATTCATTTGACAGTCAACTGGAAATTTTTGATCAAAATTTCACTAACATTTCTAACAATTCAATTCAAAAATAACATTTGAAAAAAAAAAATGCAAGCAGCAACATTTCCATTTAAAAGTTAAAATATTTCCATTTGTTTTTCCCTTTTTTTTCAGCAAAAAATAAAGAAATGAAAAAATTTTTTTTTTTTTGCAAAACTGAATTTGAAATAAATTATAAAATAATTCATTTGAAACTATAACACAAATTTTATATTTAATTTCTCCACTGCTAAGGGTTATTATTATTATTATTATTATTAATAATAATTTTTATTTAATTAATATTTTATCAATAATTAGTAAATGTATGATACAAATTAACAAACTTTCTGATTGTTATCAATTTATTACGAATTATACTACTAAAAGTTTCATTAATTAAATCTATTATTTTTTTAAAATTATTTAGTTTATTTACTCTTTCTTAACGTCTAATTTTAATTAATTCATTTGAAGTGTTTCAATTGATTATCAAACGAGAAACATTACAACACTGTTGATAATTTTTTTTTTTTTTGTTTTTTCTCTCTTTTTTTTCTCTTTTCGTTAAATTTTAATTACTGAGACATTTTACAGTTATTCTTCTTCTTCTTCTTCAGTTTGTTTCGTTTGAAAAAGGAAACTAACGTCATATTTGTTCGTTGGACAAAATAAAAATGCTTCTCTTTTACAACGAAATCATTTCTCTCCTTTCTTTCATTCTTTCATTCCTGCATCCAATCATTCCGTCATTTCTATATTCATTCATCCATTCCGTCATTCCTGCATTCCTTTATTCCGTCATTCCTGCATTCTTTTATTCCGTCATTCCTACATTCCTTTATTCCGTCATTCCTGCATTCTTTTATTCCATCATTCCTGCATTCCTTTATTCCATCATTCCTGCATTCCTTTATTCCATCATTCCTGCATTCCTTTATTCCATCATTCCTGCATTCCTTTATTCCATCATTCTTGCATTCTTTTATTCCATCATTCCTGCATTCTTTTATTCCGTCATTCCTGCATTCCTTTATTCCGTCATTCCTGCATTCCTTTATTCCGTCATTCCTGCATTCTTTTATTCCATCATTCCTGCATTCCTTTATTCCATCATTCCTGCATTCCTTTATTCCATCATTCCTGCATTCCTTTATTCCATCATTCCTGCATTCCTTTATTCCATCATTCCTGCATTCCTTTATTCCATCATTCCTGCATTCCTTTATTCCATCATTCTTGCATTCCTTTATTCCATCATTCCTGCATTCCTTTATTCCATCATTCCTGCATTCCTTTATTCCGTCATTCCTGCATTCTTTTATTCCGTCATTCCTGCATTCCTTTATTCCGTCATTCCTGCATTCTTTTATTCCATCATTCCTGCATTCCTTTATTCCATCATTCCTGCATTCCTTTATTCCATCATTCCTGCATTCCTTTATTCCATCATTCCTGCATTCCTTTATTCCATCATTCCTGCATTCCTTTATTCCATCATTCCTGCATTCCTTTATTCCATCATTCTTGCATTCTTTTATTCCATCATTCTTGCATTCTTTTATTCCATCATTCCTGCATCCTTTTATTCCGTCATTCCTGCATTCTTTCATCCATTCATTACATCATTCATTCCTTCATTCCTTCATTCCTTGCTCATTCATTCTTTATTTATTTATTTATTCATTCATTCGTTCCTTTATTCATTTCATTCATTCACCCATTTATTTATTTATTCCTTCTTTATTCCTTATTTATTATTCATTTCTTCGTACATTTCACTTCTTTTCTTTTTAATTTTTTTTTTCAAATACAATATAAGGAAATATCACAATTCTCTGATCTTTTCAATTTAAACATTCTCTTCAACTAACCAACCAACCAACCAACCAACCAATCAACCAACCAACCAACCAACCAATCAACCAGTCAACCATCCAATCATTCCAATCAACCATTTTTTTTTTTTTTTTTTGATTCTTTTAATTTTTCGCTTTTCTCATTCTTCTCTTTCTTCACTTTTAATAAGATAATTTTATATTTAAAAAAAGAAAAACAATATATGTTTATAGAAAGTGAGAGAAGTGCACTTTTTTTTCTTTCTTTCAATTTTTTGTTTCATTCGTTTCATTTTAATTTTTCTATCACTTTTTTTTAATTCGTTACTTTTTTTTTTTGAAATTTAAATGGAAATGAATCACTTTTTTTTGTTTTTTGTTTCTCTTTAAAATAAAACTATTTAAATGGAAATTTTAAAAATTTTTTCTTTTTTTATGCATTTATTATTGCGATTAGCAATAACAGTTAATTTTATTGATTTTATTACTATTGCTGTTATTGTTGATGTTATTATTGTTGTAGCATTACTGTTATTAGCTAGATAAACAATTATGATTTGCTGCTTTAATGCCAATATATATATGTATATCAAATGAAATTAATTAATTTGAAATTAATTAATTAATTTTAATTAATTATTGTATATAATCCAAAATTAACGGAACATTATTTAATGAAAAAAGATGAAGCGGAAATGAGGACAGAAAGAGAGGCGCAAAAAGGTCACCGATTAAGGAAAGAAAGAGATGACGAGAAAAGATGAAGTAGGGAATAAAATAATAGAAGAATGTTTAAATTTTCTTTGTTGATAACATTTTGTTAAAAATTTCTCGAAATGACTTTTAAACTTAAAGATACATTTATAAAATTTAATATTTTCTAATTGTTTCACTTTTTTTTTTAAACTAACAAAAATTTTAAATATTATTATATTTTTGCATTACTAATATGCAAATAAGTGCAATATAATTTTTTTTTTTTTATATTTTTTTTGCATAAGTAAATTTCTGATTAATTTAAAATATAATTAAAAAATTATTTATTAAAATTTCTGCATGTCGATTTTCATTATTTTAAATTCTTTCTTATTTTATTCATCAGAAAATGTTAGTTCTAGTTTATTTCACATGCAACTTTTTCTTTTTCTTTGCCAATATGTTTTTTTTTTTTTTTTTTTTAATTTAAATTAATATTTTATTGATTAAATTAATACATGAACACTTTTTGCTTCTTTTTTTCATTTATTTATTTATTTATTTATTTTTTTTTTAGATTAACAAATTGAATAATTCTTATTTTGCAAATAACGAAAAGATTTGCAAGAAAAAAGGAAAAGAAAAAGAATACTACTATAATCATTATTAACCTATGTATTACTGATAATGATAACTGATAAAACAATTACAACAAATGCTAATGATAGCATAAATGATAATAACGATGAGAATATTGATGCAATTGTTGTGGTACAACGACAAATTGAAATTAATGAACATAATCCAATTGATGCAACAACAATAATGCAATTATTAGCAACAACAACTGAAAATGCTAAGCAATTAAGCGATAGCAATAAAAAAATTGAAGCATCAAAAGAAATGGATGAAAAATGCATTTTAGGTAAGTAAAAATACTTTCTCTTTTTTTTTTTTTAAAAAAAAAATTCTTTTTTCATTTTTTAATTTAAATGATTTCATCAAAAAGAATAAGAAAAAAAAAAGAAATTTATGCAATATGATGAATAAGAAAAAAAAAAGAAAAATAAGCAATTTAAATATTATTTCATATATATAAAAAGTAAGTAATATAAATTATTTAGTAATATTATAAAAAAAAAACGAACTTACATTCTTTTATTTATTTATTATATAAAAGATATAAATTTAAACTTTTTACTGTTTAATTTTAAATGTGAAAAAAAAAATAATGATGGTGACAATGATAGTAATGATAATAAATAAATAAACAAAATTTTAACCCAACAATTTTAGAAGTATATTCAACAAAATTATTGAATGTGCCACCACCAGCATATTCATTAACTAGTCCATGTTTACCACCAAATAGTCCACAACAATTAGATTGGCCACCTGAATCGCCATCATATTTTGATGGCTACCCACCGTATCCAGCTGGTTTGTATATTTAAAAATTTTTTTTTTCTTTTTAATACAAAAATTAAAGAAAAAAGGAAAAAAAAACGAAAGAAAGAAAAGATTTGTTGCAAAAATTTGTTTTTTATTATTATTTAATTAGGAAAAATTGTAAAAAAAAAAATTTTTTTAGCCGTAATTAATTATTTTATTTATTTGTTTTTATTCATTATTATGATTCATTCATTTAAAATAATATAAATTGTATGAATTCATTAGTAGCAAACAAATTTGATACATAAATAAATTCAATTAAAAGTTTATCTTTTTTTTTTTCCTTCAATAATTTTCTAATTGTTGCAGCTATTTTGTTAGCATAGCTTTAATGTAATAAAAGTGTTTTAAAAAGAAAAAAAATTTTATTCGTTTCAAAGAAATAATTTCTGATCTTTGTCCTTTATTATTTTACTTTTACAAAATAATATTATAACTTTTTTTTTTTTTGCTTGTAATATAACATGAAGGAAAAAAAATTAAGCATTTATAGTTTAATTTAAAAAATAAAATTGAATAAAAAAAAAAAAAAACGTAAGAAAAAATTACATTGAAAAAATTTTTGTGATAGATATTGTTTTTTCAATACAAATTATTAATTAAAATAAAATTAAAAAAAAAAAGAAAACTATTATTAAGATTTTACAAAAATTTTTGCAACTAATAAATGTAAATTAAAGGTCCACCATTACTTAAAATTGCTTACCCAAAAGATATTCCCGGTCCAACATATGCTTGCCCGAAATGTGATGGAAGATTTTTGGTAAGTTTATTTTTTTTTTTTTTGTTTGAAAAAAACTTTTTCACTTTAATTAACTTTTCATATATTAATTAGTTCAAATTTTTTTTCAAATATGATTGGTAATTTTTTGATTTTGCTAGAATTTATTTAATTTCATAAAAAGATTTACAATTCATTTTGAATTTATACTGATCAATCGATTAATCATTTTTTAATACATTCGTTTTCGTTTTTTTTTTTTTTTATTTCTTTTCTTTTCTTACACAATTAATTTGATATTTTGAATATTATTTATTAGTTTTTTTTTTTCATTTATTTGAAAGAACTTAAAAATGAATTAAAAATTATTAATCAAAAATAGACAATAAATTATTTTTTAATCAAAAGAAAAAAGAAGAAAAATAAAAAAAAGGCAAAAAATATTTCTTTTTTTAAAATTATTTATTAAAATAATTAAAGAAAATATAAATTGCTAAAAAAAAGAAGAATTAGAGATAATTACAATTATTTTAATAGTAAATTTAAAAAATTAAAAAAAATGCAATTATTATATTAGTATAAGAAAATTTTTTTTTTAAAAAATTTAAAAAAAAATATCGATTATTTCATTTTCTTCATTAATAAATTTAACAAATTAAAAATTGAATTATTAATTAATTAATTAATTTTGATTTCAGTACTACAGACAAGCTGGCATAGTGCAATGTCCATTTTGTCATTCTGCAATTTCTATTGGTCGATATGTATGTCTAAATATTTTATAAAATAAAATTTTTTCACAAAAAAATTTAAAGTGAAACAAAGAAATAGGAAAGAGACAGAGAGAGAGAGAGAGAGAGAGGGAGAGAAAGGGAAATAGAAGACAAAAGAAAATTAAGCAAGAATTTATTAAATAAAATTATTATTATCTTTTTTTTTGTATAAATAATTTTTGAAAAAAAAAGAAAAAATTACAATATAAAGAATTTTTTTTTTATTAAAAATATTTAAATTTAAATTACTGCAAAGAAAAAAAAATAACAAAAACAAAAACAAACAAAAATTATTTTAAAATAAATTTGAAATATTCAAAAATGTTATTATCAATTAATTTTTTTGTCATATTTTTTTAAAAAAATTTATTTATTTATACAGGTACGAATACGTGCATGCTCATTTATTATGTTTGGTTTACTATTTTTAATTATCAGTTTAACTTTTGGTTTGGCAACAAAAATACTTACTGACTGTTCGACAGGCTATTTTATTGTTTGTTAGTTTTTCCATCTCATAATTATATTCAAATTTATGTAAATTTTAATTTGTAGCTATATGAAAATCTTAGAATTTTATTAATTCGTTAATTAATTAGTTAATAATTAGTAGCTATTACGATTTCTTAGAATTTATTAATTAGTTAATTGATTATTATACAATATAATTTATAAAAATGGATTATTTAGTAAATTGCGCAAAAATGAACAAATTATTATTTAATATAGTTTATGTAGTTTTTTTTTTTTTTCAAATTTAATAAAATCTTGATTTAATTACAAAATTTTTTCAATTAATTTGTATGATGTATTGAAGTACTATCTTAATTGTTTGAAATATTTGTTTAAATTTTTTTTTTTTTTAGACATAAATAATGCAGTATTATGATCAATTAAATTTTTTAATTTTAATTAGATTTATTATTATTATTATTATTATTTGTAAACAAAAAATTTCTTTAACTTAACAATAAGTATTATGTATTAAATATGTTAATTAATAAATAGTTAAGTGCTAAATTGTTAATAATAAATATTAATTCAATACTTTAGCTATAATAACTCAATTTATTAGTAATAATTAATTTAATACAATTATCAGTTCAGTATTTTTACTCTTTTTCTTCTCTTTTTTCAGTTGCAATGATAGCAGTATCAGGTCTAATGTTATTGATTCGTGCTTTTCATATGTGTTTCCGTTATCAGGAAACGGAACGTATCGAATTTCCATAAAAGAAAAAGAAAAAAAAAACGGAAGAAGAAGATAGAAAGAAAAAAAAAGAAACAATGTAAAACTATAATGCATCAAAGTAACTTTTATAAAAATAATAAAATTTTTATCCAAATAAGTTTAACAAAATTTAGCAACGAATTAAATTAAATTAAATAAATATTTACAAAAAAAAAAATTTTTTTTAAATGCTATGTTTCTTTTTTTTTCTTTTTATTTAATAATAATTTAAAACTCAGCGAATCATTTTTCACTAATTAATCATTCATTTGTATTGTCAATAATTATTAATTTATCACTTATTTCTTCATTTATTTATTTGTTTATTTAATGAAAGTATTAAAAGATTAATTGCTAAAATTTTTTGAAAAATCTTATGAAAACTCTTATCATATCATTTTCAAATATCCATATGAAAATTTTGCAAACTTTTTTCCTTTTGATACTTTCAAATGAAACTTTGTAAAAATATTCAAATTCATTTGGTTTTTTTTTTTTTTTGTCTTTCTCATTCTTCCTTTCTCCCTCTCTCTCTCTCTCTCTCTCTCTTTCTTCACCAAAAACTTATTTCAGAATTCATAAACTTTTAATTTTTAATTTTTTTTTTTGATAAGCAACAGGTGATAATAATAATGATAATGTTACAAGAATAATTTCCATTTAAAAAAATAAAAAAAGAAGGACATTTGATTTAATTATTTTTATTTCATTTTTATTATAACAATATATGATCATTTTAATTTCATACTAAATTAAAAAGAAAATAGAACAAATATTAAATAATAATTTAATGAAAATTTTGCATTATATTTGCCTAAATTTCAATTGATCGTTAATTATTTAAAAAAAAAGAAAAATGATAAAATTATTTCCAATTATTTTCTTATTCTGCTCAATTTGATTTTGTTTTTTTGCTTTTTTCCTTTTTTTTTTTCATTTTTCAAATTTTATATAATAAATTTATTTTTACTTCACATTGTCACATATTTATGTTGCAATTTTCTTTTTTACAAATTATTCATATTGCTGCTTTCTTCACTTTTTTTCTTTTGATTCTTTTCTTTTTTTTTTTATATTTATTTATTTTAAATTTGTTTATATTTTATGCTCAACAATATTTATTTGTATAAAAAATGTTCATTTATTTATGTTTTCCTGTTTATTTTTTATTTTTTTTTTTTTGTTTATTTGTTCGTTTGTTCGTTCTTCTCTCGTTCTCTCTCTCCTTCCCTCTCCCTCTCTCTCTCTCTCTTTTAAATTGTCATAGTTTTGATTTGTATGTATTATGTGCCTAATTAAAGATTAAAGTAATGTATTATGTGCCTAAAAGTTTAAAAATAAGAATGCACTGATGTGTAGTTGAAATAATAACATTTCTTCAATTAAAATTAAAATAAAACAATAGCAGAAGGAATGAATTCATTTAAATTATAAAATGAACGGTAATTTTAATTCTTTTTTTTTGTTATGAATTATTATTATTTGTGTGATAGTTCAATTATAGCATATTATTAATATTAATAATATATTAGTAAAATATACATAATATATTAATAAAATAAATATATAATATATTAGTGTACAATAATATATTAATAAAATAAGGAACAGTTGTTAAAATTGTATTGCAAAAATATAATATATATAAATAAACAAATATAATTAGTTGAGAAAAAAATAATTAGAAAAAGATTTTTGAAAAAATTAAAAAAATAATTTTTTGGTTAAAAAAAAAAAATAATTTGGTTATTTTTAAAAAAAATTAAAAAATAATAATTTTGAAAAATTTAAAAAAAAATAAATAAATTAAAAAAAAAACCAGAAATTCATTTTTGATTAAAGAATAATAAGAGAAAGAAAAAAGTTGGAATTGATAAAAATGATTTAAAAAAAAAATTAAAAATGAAAAATGAAAAAGAGAAAGAAATAAAATTGAATTGATTGTGGAAATAATAAAGTAAAGCAAGAAAATATACTAATTATCATTAATATATGATAAAGAATAATGGCAGAAATAAATATATAAATTAAACTTATTTAATTAATAATTAAAGAATGCGAAATAATTGCAAATGTTTTTTTGTAATTTCCTTCTTTCGTTCATTTTTTTTTTCATTAAAATTTATTTTTAATTATTTCATTACAATAATTTGAAAATAAATTCATTAATTCATAAATTAATTTCGATTTATTTTTTCTTCTCTTATATCTATTCAAATTATTTTTTCTTATCAAATGTGTAAAAATTTGTTCAAATTACACAGTAACAATTTGATCATATTAAACTATCATCAAACTATTTCAATTATTTCTTTTGCTAAAATAAAACTTATCATTTTATAAAAGTTAAAGTTTAAAAATAGTAACAATTGTTGTTTGTAAGAACATTTTAAACAGAACATTTTAATTTGATATTAATTATTAATATTATTTATTGTTTGTAAGAAATAATTATTATGCATTTTTAGAATAATTATTATCTGTTAGAATAATTATCATCATTATTGTTTGTAACTAGAATAATTATTATCTGTTACATTTTTTTTTTAATTTTTTAATTGAAATAAATAAAAATATGAAAAAGAAAATATGACCACAGGGGGATTAAAATTTTAAAAGATTTGATTTAATTAATTAAAGGATGATAATAATACAGGATATGTTCTTCACTTTTCGGATTAATATAATATAATTTAATATAGCAATAAAAACTGTAGTGCTTTGATGAAATTTAAAAAATAACATTTCATAGTTAACAATAGTTTTCTGATAATGTCAAACGATTGATAATGGTCAAAATGAAACAATCATTTTAATTGTTAAATACCTTAATAATAATTCATCAATTCTTTAAAAAAAAAAATAATCTTGCATAAATAATTCTACTGTTATTTTATTTTGATATTAAATTCTGCTTAATTTCTTAATTTAGTGCAAATTTAATCACACGAATAACTTATTTAGTTCTTTATTATGAATTTATTTTGTAAACAAGTTATTTTCAATTAGAAAAATTTATTTCAAATAGTTCCCTATTATAATTACATGTTTAAATTTCAAACTGTTAAAATATTACTGATATTACCAATTAAATTATTGTTCTAATGATAATAAAAAAAAAAGGATTATTATTCTACTATATGCAAGGTAACAAATAAGCGAAAATAATATTGCAGAAATTTGAAATATATTATAAAATTAGTTAGAGTAAAAGTAAAGTTAATTTAATTGATGTATTCAGATGAATTATATAAAATATTCACGATAATTTACGAAAAAAAAAACCGGATAAGGATTGATATCCTGAATCACAGCTAATAGATCTCGAAATCTCGAATCTCAGCTAAAACTTGATACCCTGAATCTCGACTAAAACATCTTAGTGTCTTGAATTTCATCTGGTTGATCTCGATGTCCCGAATCACAACTAAAACATTTCGATGTCCTAAATTTCAGTGAATGATTCTGATATCCTAAATTTTTGTAACACAAGATCTCACTCATCATATTTTACATATAGTAATATTAGAAGTCGGAAACCTAAAAAAAATTAATAATACCATCAAATAATAAATGATTGAAATAAAAAAAAAATAATTTCATATCAGAAAATATAAAAGTAAACAACAATAAAAAGATAGCAAATAATATTTCGAACAAAAATGTTATAATTTATTAATAATCAAATTTATTAAATTATTCAAAACTTACTAAATTTAATTTAATTTTTACCTTTTATTATTTGCAAAGTAAATATTTCATATCATTCAAATTGTTTGACTTTCTCTTTTTCTTTAAAAAAATAAAAAATAAAAAAGCAAAAAAAAAAAATAACGAAAAAAAGAAATAAGAAAAAAGAAAGGAGGAAACAGTTCATCCATTCATTTATTAATTCATTCATCGTTTCCTTAAAAAAAGAAAAATAATGGCCGTGACCGGAAATTGGTAAAAGATGAGTCGTCCCGTTCTTAAATTTGAGTGAATTTAAAGTTTTAGGAGTACGTCTGAGAGTTCGACTGGATGAGTTGTTGTGATGCAATATTTTGAATTAATTGTTCATTGGTAACTTTTTTCTTTAGTCTAATTTTTCTTTTTCAGTTTAAATTATGCGAAAATATTTTCTTTGTTCTCTTTTCTGCGAAATAGCTCCTTTTTTTTTTTTGGTTTAATTAGTTTACATTTTACGTTATGGTTAAGTTACGTACGTTTTACGTTACAATTAGATTACGTTGCTAGATTACGTTTTGTATTATAGTTTGACTATGTTACGTTTTAAGTTATAGTTTAATTATGTTCCATTTTAAGTTATAGTTTTATTACGTCACTTTTTTACATTGAAGTTAGATCACGTTGCGTTTTATTTTATAGTTTAATTATGTCGCGTTTTAAGTTATAGTTCAGTTATGTTATGTTTCAAGTTATAGTTTAATTATGTTGCGTTTAAGTTATAGTCTTATTACGTCACGTTATGTTTATAGTTAAATTCAGTCATTCGGGAAATATGCTATTGTTTTATACCGGAAATAAAATATATCATTGATTATGTCTTTTAGCATAAAAGCATAAAGACATGCATGAAACACATGAAAGCATAAAAAAACTATAGGCATTATGTTTGAAAACACAAGGATTTTTTTTTCTTTAGAGCATAAAACTTTTTTTTTTGAAAATCTTTAGACGAAAGCGCAAATATTTTACTGTTATTGCTTCTTGGCTTTTTAGTCGGAAATTAAAACTTGAAAGATTGCTATATTTTGATCCTAAAAAAATGTGGTGTGGAATTTATGAGATTGTTATATTTTTTTTGATTTAAATTTCGTGCTATTTATATATAAGAAAAGTTTTCATATGTTTTTATAATTTAATGTGCAGTGGCAAATTAAGTTACAGAGGATGCTAATTTACAATTAATTAAAGTTTCGACTTTTTATTTGATAAGATTTCCATTTTTATCCCCAGCTTGAGTATTAAAACTTACTGTCAAATGTTAAAGTTAGAATTA